GATTACCTAACAAATAAAAGTCTACCTAATCCAACGTGTAACGTTCGATTGTAATTTTTGTTTTTATCTACATTTAAATGAATTATTTTTTTTTTTTTTTTGTAAAAATATCAATTCGTTCCATGTGAATTGACAATTGTGTTTTTCATTTGATGTTTCGGGAAAATCGTGTTCCGCACGTTTGCAGACACTAGCAGCACTTCATTAGCCACGACTAATAAGTAAATGAATGAGCAAATGAACTCTGACTTAGAATGCTTTTATATCTTTTGGACGATACGTCCCTATTATCGACCATTTAATAACAAATATCGTTCAACTAGATATTTATTAGATTGGCTCAATAAATCTTAGAGGAGGGCAAATTTGATAATTCAACTTCTGAAATCGGTAAAAAACATCGTAAATGAAAGTTAACGCGCGTTATATCACTTCTGTCGAGAATTCTAAAAACGAATTCGAGCTAAAAGACAAGATACACGTTTAACGAGTTTTCTTACAAGTTCGTATACCGATAATTATCAAACGGGGTAGGTATTTTGTAGATTTACATTTGTTACATGAATTACAATAAATTAACGTAATTTTATCGTATTATTGAATATATCATTTTCAATTGGATTAGTAAAGTATCTTTTCGACGATCTTTTATTTCTTTTTTTTCTGCAACCTCGAGAGTTATTTTTAAGGAGTAATAATTTTTGTTTTCCGAAGGTGTCAACGACAGCAATATTTACTAGAAGCTCGAATATTAGACAATCTAACTTGTCCAAGGCTAACCGAGCCTTAAGCTGCCATTCCAACTGTTTCGCTAAACCGACCGATCGTTCGCTAAATTAGAACTGAGTATCCGTACGATTAGATTCAAGATCGCACCATAGTTTACTCAGCTGTCTTCCTTGATCATATTTCTTCGCTCGCAAAGTAAGCCCTTTTCATCACCCTTTCTAATCATTTCTCAGACCAAATCCCTTCTCTTTATTTCTCTCTTTATCATCTACTCGTTATTTCTAACGGCATAGTGAAAGTTTCATTTAGGTATTTTAACCAATCAGTATTTACGTTTCATCGAGTCGTTATTATAACGTTTAATTATAGAGATCTAAGAGCAAAGCTTAATTATTCATTTAAATAATATGCTCAAAGAGAGAAAAACAAAAGAGTAAATCATATACAAGATGTAATAATAATAATTCTGAACGAAAGAAAAAATAAGATAGATTTTTGCATATTTATCTTTGATCAATAATAACTAATAATTAATATATAAAAAAAAGTACATCGCGTTAACGTCGTAATATGACGCCTTTCAACGAATTTAAAATATTTTTATTTTCCATCGATTAAAAAAATAGGATCAAAGTATTTATAGAAGATAGTAATATATGAGTAGTAAAAATATATAAGCGCGTGCGCGTCCCTTGTTACGATCGATGCACCGGGTTCCGTAGATTTCTCCTTTATCTCTGCCGATATCATCAGGACAAAACAAGCCAGGTACCTTTACCGTATCTAACTCCTTTTTCTTCTATCCTTTTTCTTCTTATTCGAGGAGCAAGTTTTTCCGAGGATCGATTTAAAGACCGGTCGCGTGTAAGGCGCTTTATAGAGCTCGAGAAAAGGAGTTGATTGTTTTACAATTGTCGTAGAAGGTTAGAGAGGGCTGAGTATCTCGAAAACTGGAAAGTAAGATAATTGCTATTTAGGAGGGGAATTTAAAAAAAACTTCACTACACCGAGACGAGAACGAGCATCTCACCTTTTCTAAATGCGTCAGAGTTCAAGGTTCTTTCCTTAAACAGTAAAAGAAAGACATTAAAGATGTATATATTATTATTATCTTACTTCTTTCTCTTCCCGCGTGCATGTTGACCTTTTTTCTTTAATGCAAATTTATTTTATAAATATATAACTATAACGACTATATATTAATAAAACGTTTAAAAAGTTTTGACCGTCAAATCACGAACTCGTCAATGTTAATTCTTCCTCTTATTTCCTGTAAAATAGAGGAGAGAGGTCCTATGAAGTATGCAAATGGAGGCGGTCACTATTACGTGAGACACACATGTTTATGCGGTGTTTATCAAGAAAACTCGTAACTCGAGCTATAGAGCTTTGATTTACCGCGTTATCGCGTGGGTATTACCATGGACATTCATGACGAATAACTTTCCTGATTGAACGTTTGAAAAAAATGAACAAAATAGAGAGAAAAAAAGTGGATAAGAAAAATCGATTAATATTATAAGTATATTACGAGTAACCCACACGTGTATGATGATCAGTTATACTACTAGCTTGTTCTATGTTAGTACCGGTATGGAAATGAGTAGCGGCTACGATTTACTTCTATTAGATCGTCTGGAAAGATCGATGTTATCTCGTTGATCGATGAATTGAAACATCCATTTAAATAGGTATCGATAAACTAATACCTATATTTCAATATGTTTCACGACAGGTTTTTTAAAATCGTCTCCCTAGTTCTTTCATCTTCTCTTTTTTCTATATGATTCACAGTAGATATTTCGTGACAAACGTTACATAGCTAGACCAAAATTACTACTATGACTCATTATCATTTTTCTTCTGTTATAAGGAAAATATGAGTACGTATATTATATTTTTGACGATGATTATCTATCGGTATTATTTTGTACATCTCTTATATTCCAGAACGCTTTATCTTCAAATTATTATGTTTTGTTTCTTTTCGAAATTTTTATTTTTACGTTATAATTGTACCTTTTGTTGACCAGATTGTAAAGAAAAACTATTAAATATCTCGTTATATTTCATCTTTCGACAGATATTCGATTCCATCGTTTGTCAACGATAAATAATAGTTTATAGGAAATATACGATCATTTGTACAGTTTTACACGACGATATATATATCGTATATAAATATATACATACATATATACGATATCTCTTGAAATACGTATATCAATATATATTTTTTAGCTCACGTGGGGTTCACCTTTGTGCCTTTATGGAAAATCAATGGTGATATTTTACATGGAAGAGCATCGTTGCCAGATATGTACGAGACTATCGTATCCAATTGAACATCTCTTTGTTGGAAAGATTTTTTCACAGAGCAATAAAAATGGACTATTATCATCCATTTTTATAATCTTTTCCATAATTTCATCTAACAAAAATGTGTTGATTTTATAAATATTCATAATTACTTAAATTATTATGTGCTATTAATTATAAGAATTTATGATTGTTTATTTATATGCACAATTCCAACGAATTCGGGTACCGCTGAAGCGAGACTCTATTCTTTTAAATTTTGTGTTTTTCTTTTCAATGTTGCTAATATAACGATAATATGATAGCAACCATCCAAATACAGGACAAATAGAGGACAAACGTTTCGCGAGTTGAAATTACATAAGACCGCTTTCGTCAACGTCTCTCTTTCTCTCTCTCTCTCTCTCTCTCTCTCTCTCTCTCTCTCTTTAGTTTTTTCAATACAAACATGCTGTCTTCGCATAGATATATATATATATATATATATATATATATATATATATATATATATGTATATAATAAAATCTTTTATTATTCGTACGTTATGTCATATTTTGAATTTATTTATCTGTATTTGAGCAATTTCAAAGGTAAAATATTTAATCGTATTAAGTGATATAATTACACAGTTCAATTTTAGAAGATTTTATTTTTACTTTTCATAAGAAAAGTAATACAAGACGTCGTTTAAAATTAAAATATACAATACGAAGTATATTAGAAAAATATGAAAAGAAACAAAATAAATAAAATCTTACCTGATAAGTCAACGTGATCATTTCACGAATAGCGTAAAATCGGCACATCGCCCGGCCGGATGTCTCGCTCGTAATTTCCATCTGAGGCTTTTAAAAGAATAAGTGAAAGCGTGAAGGAGACAGACGAAGAGTGTGTCAAAGCATCCAGGCAATCTTTTTTACTTTTATAATTTTCTTCTATCTTTCGTTCATTTTCTTAACAGAAGAGTATAGTCAGCATCGTTAACGACACAAATTAAAATATGTATATATTTATATCGTATGCATAAAATATATGCAATTACAATACAAAAGTATATATAGGACATATTTAGATATGAAAGAGGTACGAACAATACACGTATTACAAATTATTATCAACTCCAAGAGAAAGTTTCGAAATAGCGTAAGAGCAGACAAACACACATCGTTTGTAGCTTCTGGCAACGTGTGATTGGAAAAGAATATATGTACGGGAAACAAGAATAAGCTTTCATCCTTTTCAATTGATTATATAATTATATTTCTCTTATTTCATTTATATTTATCGTCTACTCGTCTAGAATTAAAGACCATTAACATTGAAATTATACTCAACATAATATTCTTTTTTTAGTTTTTTACTCATCACACTATTGTCCATCTTTCTAACTTTCATTGTCAATTGTTAAACAAGTAAACGACATTCTGTCGAAAGATCTAATAATGGAATTTACAAAAAAAAAGAATATATATTTTTATATTAGTTCGCTCGTCGAGATAAAGAGAAAAGGGAAAAAAGTGTTTCACGCGATTTTAAATTAGATTTAAAAAAACGAGCTCATTTACGAGTTCGAGATCTCGAAGTTGAGGTGAAATAAAGGTGGAGTAGCTCGTCGCATGGCGTACACGCAGTGCCGAGCTTCACGCTTCGTAACAATGCTTCAACTTTCTCCGTCACTTTCGTTTTCGTTGCTCGATTGCCCGATTGCTAGGCTATCTCTCTCTCTCTCTCCCTCACTCTCTCTCTCCCTCACTCTCTCTCTCTCTCTCTTCCTATCTCTATCTTTTCGTCAAATTGAGAAATAATCCAAGCATTAACGCGCGCATTCGGCGTTTTTATTATTATTATTATTATTATTATTATTATTATTTTTATTATTATTATTAATATCATTATTATCATTATTATCATCATTATTATTATATGAGATCTTGTTTAAAATGCAGTAGGACCACTGATGTTAATAATATATTCTACTCATGGAGATAAAAATTGTAAATAAGGTTTGGAGAGTAATGATAGACGAGGGAAGACATGTTTTTTTTTCTTTCTTCTCAACATGTATATTTCTTCGCATTTTTTTATTCCGTTGAAAAATAATGCCATAAATCGTCGTAGGAAATAATATTTAGAATCTGCACAAATCAACTCACTCGCCGCACCGCTATCATTTTATTAGCTAAAGGTATTTACAGTGAACTCGGAACTGTTTGGAATCTCTTGGTGAATCCTTTTGAAAAGTCCGTGGTATTCATTGATGATCAATTAGATATGGGTGGACTGTTTTCGAAGTAAAAGGAAAAAGTTGACATAAAGGGAACGATGAAAAAGTCAAAATTAAAGAGGACATCAGTCCACCCTTCTTCTTTTTGTCTCTTTCTTTCTCTCTCTCTTTCTATCTCGCTGCTATCAAACGATTCAATTATTCGTACAGCGAGTGTTTCCCGCGAAAAATGTAAAATTAGATAAATCGTTATTGTTATTAATCGGATTTTGAATAGTCGTGGAAATGAAGCGATTTCCAGCATATATCGATAGCGAAAAAAGATGTGCGTGCATACGCGTCCGCGTATATTTACGTGTGTATTACACGTATATGCGTATGCAACTTATGGCTAACCCTGTTCCTCCATTGAAATAACATTCACGAAATACAAGTATCGGATTACAAGACTATTAGCCGTAAGTACCAACGATTTTCCTTAAATTAATGTATTCGCTTTACAGATTTTTTTTTAATTATTAAACATTAGCGAGCAATAAATTTGTTATAAATAGAGTTTAATTCAAAGTGCTCGGCTTTTTTTTATTCTTTTTCCTTTCTTTCTTTCTTTCTTTCCAAAAGAAGAAGACGACGATACTCGTTGTCGTTAAATAGTTTAATAATACGTACGAGAAAGTAGAGAGCTAAAACTCTTCCGACGCATTCTTTTTTCTTCTTTTCATCTCTCTCTCTCTCTCTCTCTCTCTCTCTCTCTCTTTTATTTTTTGTCTCTTCTTTCTCTTGTTTCTTTTACAAAGAGCACATCGAGAAATATTGAGGAAAAACAATTGGAAAAAGCGTCGCCGGAGTAGAGGATGGGAAAGGAATAAGGAATATAATGATTTTGTAATCGGGAAACATGCGAAACATTTAATAAACATCGAGTATTTAATAAGAATTCATAGAGCCAGCATTTTTCTACGGAGTTCTTTATAAATAGTCGACGAAATATTATTCGTGCCGGTCGATTTTTTCGAATAATTTGAAAATATTTATTAGCGCTAAATCGACTTTTAAGATTATATATAATTATGAATATTAGTACAAATCTATTCGATGAATCTTATCCCAAATAATAATAATAATAACAACAAAGAAAGTCGATTTTCATTTCGCTCTGTCTAATTAAAATTCTCGATAACGAGGAAATTGGTCGTTTTAATCAAATCGAATCGAATCGAATGATCGTTCGAAAAAATCGGCCGCTAAGTGCTAGCTCTAATTAGAATACATTTAGAAATAGAATAGCAATGATTAAAATCAGTCATCGTCGTCGTCATCGTTGAATTAGACTTTAGTGAAGACCGTTGGATCGCGATCGAGTGACAAACGACATTTTGTTGAAATTTATCGAATTTATCAAAATTTATAGAGGAGAGACAGCAGCAACAACAACAACAACAACAACAACAGCAGCAGCAGCAGTGTCGGCAAATTCGAGCTACCTCGCGCGTAACGTGCGTACGTATCTCTACGTTCGACATGACTTTCGCAGTGTAGCTAAAAGCAGCTACATAACATAGAGTAGGATACCTATAGTCAAACCGCCCATTTACGTAACCAGTCAGCATAGGCGCGCGTGCGCACCTAACTCATACATACGTTTCTCTCTTTCTGAACACGCTTAACTCTTTCACTCTTTTCTTCGTACGTTAGTATTTGTATGTACGCCTTTCGAAGGTCAGATTCGACAATAGGATTCCTAAGTGTGCTTCGAGTCTTGCTTCTGTAAACGTGTTTCCCTCTTTTATTGTATATGTATGTGTGTATGCTGCTGTTGCTCGCGCTCACATGCGCCTAGTCACACGCCCCTTCTCTTTTCCTTTCCTTCCTTCTTTCTCTCCCTCTTTCCCTCTCTCTTTCTTTCTCTCACACTCTCTTTCTCTCTCTCTCTCTCTCTCTCTCTCTCTCTTTCTTCTCTCTGTCCTCGAGTCTACGATAATCAAAGACTTCGCAATCGTAATCGTTAATGAATAATAATCGAACGACTGCACGAGCACACGCGCGTTTACCGACTCGATCTTCCGCGAAGAGTCTTTATAATTATGACAAGAGAGAAAGAGAAATAGAAGTTTTTTTTTCTAAGCTTGCCATTTGCCAAGATCAACGAGGAAAGGTTACATCTCCTTTCTTTGTGTCTCCCTCTGTCCTCTTCTCCTCTCTCTTTCTCTTTCTCTTTCTTTCTTTCTCTTTCTCTCTTTCTTCTTTCTCTTTCTCCCTATCTATTTCTTGTCCTAATTAAAAATGTCGTAATTACCATTTTCGTTCATCATCGACTTGCTTAATTTTATCCTTTTCTTTCTTTCATTTTTCTTTTCTTATCTTGTTAACAACGAATGATCATTGTAATTTTCCTTTCTCCTCTTCTTTTTTCTCGAACAAATATCGTAAATGAAAAGGCAGTGATTTTGATTTGCATTGCCAACAAAAGAGGAAAATATGATTACCCCATTAGAGATCGTTTTTGTCATAAATGCGTCTTACTTTGAAAGACGACGTATTGCAGGACGACAGGCGCATATCTTTCTTTCCTTCTTTCCTTCTTCTTTTTCTCTCTCTCTCTCTCTCTCTCTCTCTCTGTATTTTTTCTTTCCACAAGACCTTTAAAAAGCATGGACGGACATACACGCGCGTATGTGCTTCGATCGTAAAATCGAATTGGCGAGAATTGTTGCGCGGTTATCTGGACCAGATAAAAATCAAGAGTGAAAAGAAAAAGAGAGAAGACAAATCTTTTAAAGTATTAGCAAAATGTATGCGACAAATAGAACAAAAAATTATTCCATTATCTCGCAAGATGGCAGAGAAAATTCAATTTCATGTGATTTGATTTCAGAATATTACATTTGATTATCGATATTTAGAGTCTTTGATTAGGGGCTCTCTCTTCTAATCAGAGATCGAAGATTTATATGAAACCACCTAGAGCGTCGTGAAAGTCCTGCAAATAGGCGAGAAGTTGTGGCATCGTTGGTCGATCCCTCGTAAGGCCGAGCCAACAGACAGCCATAACGGCGAAGAGCTCGTCGGGACAAGGTCTTGGTTGAGCCAATCGATATCCATCTCTAAGGCAGGCCATCATTTCGAATGGATCAACGTCAACGTATGGTTGTTGACCCAATGTTGCCAATTCCCAAAGGAATACGCCAAAGGACCACTTGATCGAGACAAGATAATTTCATATATGTATTTATACGAAATACTTATCGTTCATTGATTTTTATTAAAACTCTACAGTATTGGCACTTACAAGATTATATTATATGTATATTTGAATGAGAAGTAAATCAAATTATATCTACGATAGATTAAATGACGATAATACTAGTATTAAGAGCTGAATAAACTCGTCTCAGGGATATAAAATAAAAGTATAAAAAAGTATAAAGCAAAAATTCGCCAATACTGTAAGTGACTTAATAATGTCTATGAAAAATCGTACCACGTCCGTCGCAGTGCTATATTGATTGTGTTGAAGACTTTCCAAAGCCATCCAACGTATCGGTCTGTTTTCATTGTCTCCAAGACAATGATAATCTTGAGGAAAGAGATCTCGAGCCAAGGCAGCATCAGCTAATCTAACTCGAAGGCTACTCGGTTCTATCAAACAATTTCTGGCAGCGATATCCCTGAAATACGGAAATGTAGTTTAAAATTATTAAATCGCATCTATAGAAAATATTGAATGTTAGAAAACAACGACTTATCTCACCTATGCAAAAGACCGCGACCGTGCAGAAAAGCTCCAGCTCTGGCAACTTGAGCACCAACGTTCACCAGATCTCTGGTCACGGGATGGTAACTCCCATCGGTAAGGTAGAGTTTTAAATTTAATTCTCCCTGCGTACTCGTGTACGCTAACAATGGGCAAGAACCGTCAAGGCAAGCTGCCGCTAAGGAGGCTATGTTCTCATGGACCAGACCAGCTAACTGCGAACCCTCCACAACGAGTAAAGATGCTTGATAAGCGGATGCCACCTCTGAAAATTACCGATTCTTACTTCTATCTATAATATTCTCGTTATCATATTTTTCCAATGAAATATTATATATAATATATATTCTGTATATTGATTTAATTTAATCGATGATCAATCTATTTATTATTTATTTAAAATATTAATTATTTCTTAGAAATCGGAAAAGAATGATAAATTTCAACGAAACTCGATCGATAATGGGCAAATGAAATTTCCTACGTTATCGGAACTAGGTACTTGTGATCGGTCGTAGGTAAGAACAGCTACAAAAGTTGTCAAGTTTCTTGAAATCCCTTCAACGTATATTTTAGGAAATGATTTTAATGAATTCAAAGGTATCTTTACCTGTTACCGTCTTGATGATTACTTCTTGTTCTCGACCACCCATATCCAAAGTTCCTCTGTACACACGTCCAAAGGTTCCTTCCTGTACGAGATTACGACAATAAAGTGCTGATCTCGGTACTGAAAGTGCCCTTGCCTTCTCGCAGGGGTCCGTTGACTGAAAAGTGCATCGAGTTATATAGTGAACGATTTATCAAGTCAAACAATTCTATTTCTATTTTCCAACTATATTATTAATGTCAATTATAGTATATTATTAATTAAATAATTGTAGTTAGAAAAGATTTTTAAGAATTGACAAGAAAAAGAATGGACACCTGTCTTGAAATATTTATCATAAAAATCCTGCTGTGTAATATTTTTAAATAAAACTAGGTGTATGTGAGAGGTAATCAAATGAAAAAAATAAAATAAAATATGCCGTTTAAATGAAAACTCGTTTCATGATATTTCGAGGATAAAGAAACGATGAAAAAAATGAGTAGAAAATGAAGAAGAAATCTTGCGACATTTCGTCAGTGCGTTGTCGGACGTGTGTCCCTCTTTGTTCTCAAACGAATTTCCATCGGTCCCTGTCGCGAAACGTAACGATGAAAGCCGACGTGGCACGGTATGAGGGCGAACTATTCATTAATTTCAATTTTCTGGAGTTTTGCCTCCGGTTCATGCTGTACGTACGCTAACACGTCAACTCATTCTATATATATACATCTATATACCTATATACGTAGATGCATGTGATGTATAGATATACACGTATGTAGAACGTAGAGAATGAGAAGGGTAGCGGCAAAATAAAAGGAAGAAAAGCGGCGGAAAAGCGATTTCAAACGTGTTATCTCGTCCGAGTGTGCAGAGAAGATATATATGTAGAATGTATTCAATTCAAAAAAGGCGAGAAATAGAGAAAGTAAAAGAGTGAAAGAGAGAGTGTGTGTGTGTATGTGAGAGAAAGAAAGAGAGAGAAAGAGATTGTACAAATAAATTAATTTTAATATCTATGGAGAAATTAGACAGCTTAAGCGGAGATTCATTAAATAAACAAGAACGAGAAAATAAATGGAAAAAATTAAAGATATTAATTACACGAAGTAGAACAAATATTCCATTATTGTTACATTTATATTTCATTAAAATTTAACAAAAGTTATTTAAAATACACATCATATTGTCCATTTATAAAAAAAAGTCCAGTTATGTGATTTGTAACATGGCTTCAGTATAAATACATACATCAAGCAAATGATGTATAAAGTGAACAAACTAGAGTTGTTGAATTCATTAAAAAAACATGAGAAAAGAAAGAAGGAAAGGATGTTCGTAGACGCCGAGACGGTTGTCTCATCCAACGTGAACGATTTTATGAAAATGCAAATACGTTTGATTCCATAGCTTATGAGACTGGTGGTGCTTGTAATTACAGCAAGGGGTGAAAAGGAAAACAGAGGATTCGCGAACAAGCGAGTATTGTTTCCGGAAAGGGAGAAAAAGCACGTCGACGCGACAAATTTAACGCTAGGCCGATTTCGCTTCTTCTCTCTAACGCGAATTTTACTTTTTTTTCTTTTTCTCTCATTTTCTCTCTCTCGTTTTTTAGTTCCTTTTCCTATTTCTATCTTTGTTGTTTTCGGGCTCAGTTCATACCACAGAGCCTGTCGTCTGCTTTTTTTTCCCCACCTTTTATTTCCTACCACGTTATTCTTCAACGTTTTTACAATTACACCTCACGAAAACGCGATTAATACTTGGAAAATACTTTGTCCTGACATAAAATAGACAAAGTTGTTTTCTTTTGTCAGGCATGTATCTAAAAGGAAGTCGTGGTTCATTCCCCATTAGAACGTTGCCTTTCTTCTTTCCTATTTTTTGTTTGTTACCATCCTGGATAATACAATAGAGATACTCTACTAACATTTGACTATAGCAATTTTTCTTCTTCATAATATAAATCGGTACTATTATATAATTTTCTAAGAGATATGTGTGTGTAAAATCAGAACAATACAAATTACTAAAAAAAAATGTAAGAAACTTCGTAAAAATTTTCAATGCTAATTTTATTTGATATTTATAAATATTAATTCATACATAATAATATAATACGTAATATCCTAATAATTATGAATAACGATTACTTTTAACAATTAACCATAACAACATAAAAACGAATAAACATTTCCGAGTGACGTATAAGTCGTACTGGTATCAAACGTAATATCAAAAATCTCGTGGAAAATCCTATCGACGAGTTGAAGAGTGCTTAAAATGGAGAATGTCGAGTTGAGTAGTAGTAGTAGTAATAGCAGAAAAGGAGAGAGAGAAGATAGAAAAAATATTTTAATACGACTACACGAAGAGTAGTACGCGAAACCCAAATAAATGAAAATAAAAATAAAAAGGGGAAAAGAAATAAAAATGAATAAAAAATATTGATTATCGTTAAACGAGAGCTAGGGACAATATGTATTTTTCAGTCGGAATAAAACAAGAGTAGATAAATTTACTAGGGACTAGAGAAAGATAGATAGAGTAGATAAATAGAGAGATAGAGAGAGAGAGAGAAAGAGAGAAGGGGAAGTGGAACTTTTATCCGTTTGTTCTATTACAATATCAAGCTATCGATTCCTCGACATAGCTGCAGGCAACCTTTTTCCGTTGCTTCGTGTATGCACGATGCAAGAGTTTGATTTATTCATCGAGTGACTTTCGTCAAATATCATCCTTGTCATATGCACTGTAGAGGCTTTAAAAGCTTCATCTTTAGGAAACATTTTTGACACACATACACACACACGCGCGCGCACGCGAAAACAATTTTGTTCCTTTCGAATCTCAAAGCGCGAAATAAGCTTGTAAATCGATGTAAAAATTTAAATTCAATCTGAGAATCGTCATATTTGAATGCTTTTCATTTTCGTCTTTGACTTATTATTTTGTCCTTTTAATTATGACATATATATGTTACGGGCAGACATTTCATAGAATGACAGAAAAAAGTTTCTTCCCTTTGCTATAAGCTCATACAACTGAATATATAGATTGACCGAAACTCTCTGAACATCCTACAGAATGACCGGTCGACAATTAAAAAAAATGTAGTCTATTACTCTTTTAGATTTTCATATTTTAATTCATAATAATATCATAATTATAATAATATAATAAAAATACATACTTAAGTGAAATTTAGCGAACATCTGTGTGACGAAAACAATTATTCCAGGAGATTGTCAGTTGTCGTGGTTCCTGAAACGATCGCCCTTTAGAGACAGGTCAGAGAATATACTGTCTCAAGCGTATCGTTTTGCCGGTGCTACAAGAGTATAGGTATATAAGAAGAGAGAGAGAGAGAGAGAGAGAGAGAGAGAGAGAGAACTAAGGTAAGATACACTGAAGACGAGAAGAAAGGGAGAGTTGCTTCTCTTACGACCGTACGAGCAAGCGAGTATATAACTGCTCGTACTCTTGCATGCAAATTGTAAATGTGTACGTAGTGAGGGGGAGACTGCTTTTCGGAAAACGTGCTGTATAGGGAAGAGAAGCTCGTGCACACAATCACGTAGAAGAGCTACGCTACCCGGGTAAATTGATCCAAGATCAAAGCCGAAACAATCACAGGACCCACTTTCAGCCACCCTTGCCTTTCCTTTTCCTCCCCTCCGTCCGTTTCTTCCACCCACCACCTCTTCTTTCTTCCCTTCTTCTTCCAAAACTGTTTGGAGCTTTGACGAAGAGAGAGAAAGAGAGAGGAAGAGAGCAGCAAGGTAACCGTGTGTGTAATCTTCCTGCTTTCGTCTCTACTCCCCCTTCGTTATTTTCCCAACTTTCGGCACCCTCTTCTTTTCGAGAAAATTAACGTAAAACGCTCCTTGTTTCCATCGTATTTATTTTATCTTTTTCATTATAAAACATTCCCTTCTTCGTCCAGGATTTTGTCTCCTCGATGAACACAATCTTAATTTACTATTTTTACAAAAAAAGTTTTTTTTCTCCCTCAAATGTTTTTTGATTTTTAAAGCTATATTCCATATCAGAATGTAAATTGAATTAAGTATTTATTTGTTTAATAAATACTATAATAATGGTACGATCGTGTTATTATTATTATTATTCATTCTAGTTTAGTAACATGTTTTTATTTTTTCACTAATGTTATATTACCGTAGAAACACGAAGAGAATTTTCTCTCAAAGGACAAGAATGATATTATGATAACTCGAGCATCTTGCGTGAGTTTCTTCCATCTCGCCCTTTTCTAACTACCAACGTCCTTTAATATTAATTTTCACAAGAAGTTGTCTTATCTCTCCCTGTCGTCTTTTATCCACTCACACGAGTCCGAGGAATGGAGTGAGACGGAAGAGTCTAGAGAATTGGAATTTTCGATGAGACAAAGAGGGATAGCGTGAGAGGGAGAGAGAAAGAGAGAGAGAGAGAGAGAGAGAGAGAGAGATGGAAAAGAGGGAAATAAAAGATAAATAAGAGGAAAAGTAAAGAAAGGAAAAAAAGAGAAAAAAAAGAAGAAAAAGCAAAAGAAAAAGACTACGCGCGTAGATATCTCTTCGGGCCGACAAGGGCCGAATCCCGTTCGGGATTTCTACCTATATGCTCACTTTGAAATATCTGAATAAAGGGCTCGAAGAGGTGGGAAGGATCTGTACGGGAAAAGTTCAGCCTGCCAAGCGACTCACTCGCTCGCTCACTTGCTCTCTCGTCTGCGAACTCGATAAACTTTTGAACGTGGATTTTCTTCTGTATACGAGAAGAAAGACAAGACGAAACGAAACGAAACGAAACGAAACGAAACGAAACGAAACGAAACGAAACGAAACGAAACGAAACGTAATTCGAATAGGAAAGAAAAATGCGCCAGAGTAGAACGATGAAGGAGACGTTTTCTCTCGAAAAATTGCGACGAATCAATGAAAAAAGATATTTACCCTCTTTTTGTGATTCGTCTCTCGAAAGTATTTGCAATATTTTTTCGAGTCGACTCTTTCTCTCTCTTTTTCTCTCTCTCACTCTCTATCTATAAAGTTTGAAATGTTGAATAAAATTGTTGAAATCGGCCATCGTGTATTTTCTTCTATTAACTGATAACTTTCGTAAATCAAATAAATACGGTAATTGGAAAAGAACAAGAAAAGAGAAGAAAAAAAATATATAATTTTTGTTCGTACCTGACTGAGATGCGTGACATGACTGGCAGCATAGTAACTCGCTCTGGATCCACAAGGCCTAGCATAAAGCGGCTCCAGGTCGGCTATGGTCGCGTAACTTCCGGAATTCGCGCTTCCGGGCCGTTGGTCGACTCTGACCAATACCGAACTTCTGGCAAGTCCGTCGGTGTCAGCTGCCGAATAGCTGTAACAAGGAAGAGTTTTCCTGAAAGGATGAGACGGCACCCACGAGTTAATCGTTCGTCTCCGCTATTGCGGAGACATCTAATCGCCCTGCCAAGATTTTTACCAATCTTACAATTTTTTTTCCTTCCTTCCTTCCTTTCTTATTTCACTCTGAAGTTAATCAAAATTATTCGGAAAAATTCGAGAAACGATTTTTGCATTACTATATTGAAAATTAACAAATAAATACAATATATATGGGCCGCTTATTTTGAAAGTGGCCTAACCTCCATTTTCCAAAAAAAAATCGAGTTAGCTACCGTAATAGTTACATTTTACATGATCTTTTCATTCTGAAGCAATTTGTTACAAATATATTTAAAATCATGAAGATATTGTAACAAGCAAATTAACCGATCAACAGAACGATGAAAAGTTTATTTTGAAAGTGGCTTATCTCCATTCGTCATTTATTATTTTCCGGTTGCACCTGGTTATTGTACAATTTTATGTTATGTATCAATACAGCATTTGAGGTTGCTTATATTCCAAGTAAACATAATAATACTTTATTGGAAATAAAAGGAGAGAAAAAAATTTTGTATAAACAAAATTATTAGAAGACGCAATTTTTAAAAGGATAAGGAATTATGATGAAGAATCAATAAACTGATAAAAAAATATGTTGGATGTGTTTTGTCAGGAATGAACCGTATAAAATTTTCTATAAGACATCAATGAATAAGAATGAAAATTTAAAAGTCCTGAATTTATTACCACGTCAAGGTAGACTAAAAAGGTTCGAAAATATTTTATTGAAACCACTATATAAAATATCAGACAAATTACAACAGCAAAATTCAAAAACATAATTGACCTATTACGATATATACCACTGTAACATCATGATTTCTTCAAATCCCTTTCACACACACAAAATGTAGATGAGTAGTAAATTGTTTTGTAGGTTATGTTTGTAATTTTGTAAGTTATGTAGTTAAAAAATGATTTGAATCGCATAAATTATGTTTCTGAAGTGTTTTAAAGATATGTAAAATAAATTGAGTATTGTTTTTTTTTCAATTTGAAGCATCTTAAATTATGTTAAATTGAGTTAAATTCCTTCGAAATTTTATAACAAATCAAATTATTGATTTTGACAATAACCTCACTCTATTCGTGGTCAGAAAACGCATATTATTCACTTAATAATTGTTACTATTTTAATAGGAAATATAAATTTAAACCCTATAGACACTTAAGCAGTATAACTCGTTAGTACCTTGTACGTAGATTTTTCATTGCATTGAAACGCAAACCATTCAATATCTCGATTCAAACATATGTTAAATGGAGGTAGGCCACTTTCAAAATAAGCGGCTCATATACATATATAATATATATATTAGGGTGGGTCAAAAAAATCAATTATTTTTTTTTTTTTTACAAGTGCCACGGAAAAATGGTTTGCTAGAGACCTTAAAAAAATTCTCACCAAATATGAGCTCTTAATTTTAATAGGTAGATCCTCCGCATCGAAGTTTTTTATTTTTTTCTCAGTCCAATAGAATAAAATTCATACCTTATCATTAATTGATTGTACAGAAAAATGTTTTTGAAGAATTTTGTAGGAAATTTAATGCTCTACAAAAAAGGTATCTTATATTTTTTCCGTAAACCTCACCACTTGAATGATATTGAAGATTCAAGTTTAATTATTTTAAGACAAATTTCATTTTTGTTTATGAATTTTATAACTCGACAATAAATGACTATTATAAAATGCGCAGTACAAAGAGTATAGCCGGATAAGTATGGGAAATCTGCCCCCGTGGCTTTTTTGACTCGCACTTGGGGGATCGATTTGGTGTTGAATAAAAATAATTCACCCTAGATTTTAGCTCTTTTACTCAAACGGTTCTCAAGATTTTCAAAAAACCTGTTTTTTCGATTTTATTTTTTTTTATATAGTAAAATTCAAAACTAATCAATGATGATTTTTTTCTAGTCCTTAGGAGTTTAAGACATGAAAAAAAATATGATCATAATATTTTAACAAAAAGCCGATTTTTGGCAGACAAAAGAAAATTAAATTTTTTTTTTTAGTTTTTTTTGGAATATGTCACTCACCAAAATTTGTCAGAAAATGTCTTTTATACTCCTCTACACTCAGGAATTTTCTTGAATTTTTTGAAGTGGTGGAACAATATGAAAAAAATTAAAAACTCATTTTTTTTCAAAAATCTCAAGTTTTAACAAACTTATATTTTTTTTCAGTTAAAAAAAAATGTGAAAAAATATTTGTTTACTCAAAATTCACAATAACATTACTTATCAAACATTTTCAATTATTTGGTTTCACAATGATTACGTAAAAACTATTTTTTTTTTTAACTCGCGCCGTGCTAATGCCTGCTCTCAAAGGAAAACGCAATCAGTTGACCACAGATGAATCGAATAAATCCCGTTTCGTTACCAAAATTCGTTGAGTTGTTGAAGCAGTACATGGCAATATTAAACAGGAGTTTAATTAGATCATAAACTGGATAACAAATTGATTCCAAAAACTAGTGTTTTTTGTCGAATCGCTTGTTTTTTGCACAATGAATTTGGAACAAGACTTGATTCTGATCTTGATCTTACAGAAAAAATAATTGCTGCCATGAATTCAATTTTGTACATGAGGGTTGCGTCAGTGTTGCGCAGGTCATATCTTGTACATTAGGGTTGCATGACCAGTGTGGTCATCGGATGCGTTAAAAAATTGAAGGTCGAATGACTGCAACATCATACACATCGATTCTGCAGAAAAGTTTAATTGGAAGTTTCGCAAAGTGGATTAAAAACGCAGAAGAAGTCATTTTTTAGCAGGAAAACAACCCTAAACACCAGAAAAAATCAGCAAAGAGTGGTTTAAAAATCACGGATTTACTTTTTTAGACTTCCCTCATAGTCTCTCGATTTGAACCCAATAGAACACCTATGGGGTTTACCGAAAAGAGCAGTTGTCAATTTCGATCATAATTAGAGATGTATTATTGAATTGTGGTCAAAAGTAAAAGTCGCTTGGAAAAAAATTAAGCCTGAACAGTGCAAAAATTTAGTAGATAGCATGCCAAGATGCATAAAAGCCGTATTGAAAGCTAAAAGAGTGTATACGAAGTACTAAAATTTTGTTTTTCCCAGACACAAAAAATTGATCAATTCCCGGATTTGTTACTTTTCTTTAATTTTGCTTAAAATATGCAACATATTTAAATTATTTTTGTACTATATAAACAACAAAAGTTAAGTAAAATGTGTAACATATTTAAATGATTTCTGTACTATGTGAATTACGAAAACTATGTAAAAATTTAAAAATTGTGAGAACATTTGATCAATTGTTTGAGTCATTGTATATATAAGGGACCAGAAAATAATGTCGTTCTTTTAACATTAAATTTAAACACGGTACACAATAAGTTGATAGATGATGCCAAAAATATTAACATCAGCAGAAACGACATTTTTTTCTGGTTTTCCTAATATTACGTATACGTAAATGAGATTATTAAATTGTTGACAAATTACTTGTTAACAATTTCAAGTCGCTTTAATATGTTTCAAGAATAATTTTCCCTAGCAATTTAATCCATTTGGGAAAAAAAAAGTTTTATTTACTATACGTATACATATTCTCAATGATCGCAAAGAAATAAAGATGGTACAATTTCAAGTGACCCATCATCATTCTCTATATACTTCTATACGAGAACTTTGAAATAGAAATAAAAAAAAGGGAGACGAGAGTAAAAAAAGAAGAAGATAAAGTAGAAGAAAAAAATAGTAAAGAAGAAATTGGCTTCGAATGCGTGGAATACGCACTTGTCTGGAGTGCTAGCTACCGAGTAGCATCGTCCCGACAACGTCGGGGTAAACGAAGTTAAAAGGGAAAAAGCCATAACGAATTTCGAACCCGCGAGAGCAAGGGAGAGAAATGAAGCTGGGTTTTCTCTTTCGAGAAAAGGAAAGATAGAAGGCAAACTCAGAAAGCGGAAGCAGCAGTCTATCCGCCTGTCTTTATATAATCTTCAACAAGGAATTACGTTCGACGTGGAGAGTTCCTTTGGTTCTCTCTATCTTGCTAGATTTACATTTCCTCCTGGGCGAGCACCTCCAGCGTTCTGGATCTCTTCTCCACCCCTTCACACCCCTCCCTACCCCCACCATCTATCTCGTTTCCTTGTTCATTCTCTCTCGGCAAGTATCGCTGCTACCTCGAAAGATAATATTCTTCTACGATCGAATTATTTGGTTGGATAATATCGTAAGTATTCGATACTCCCGCATCCTTTCGATCTCCTGTTCATCCATTCCATCATCCTTTATTAAATGTGGACAAAATCGGACGAAGGTAGAGATTATACAAATTCAAACATTCGAATGTTGTTCCGAGATACAATATCTGTGACAATAACTCGTAAACGTGTTGGCAGCATTGATTCGTAAAATCGATAGAAAATAATGATGCTATCAAACGAAGAAAATGAGTTTAATTTTTGAAAAGCACACCCCAGTCGTTTTATTAGAAATAGGATCGATAAAATATGTATTTATTTGTGTTTAAAGAAAATATTTCTAACGAGTCACTCGCTCAGGATTTATACGTTCGAATTATTTGTTTCCTATATAAAAATGCTTCTCCGATTTTTATATTTATTGTTTGCAAAAGTTTAGTATTGTTGGTAACGAATATTTTAACTTACACATAGAATTCGAACGCGTTACACGCAGATTGAAATACCGATGAACAAAGCTTCGTTATTTTAATGCAAAACAGAATATTCGTTATCACTCACAGCTAACGATTGTCAACAACATCGAATACATATTATATTTTGTATACACATCAACAAGTACAGAAAATATAGGATAACATGTTATTCAAGTTTACACTGTTATAACTTTCGAAACTATTCAATACGTGTGTATGTATACGAATTTCTCTAATTAGATAAGTATGTATATCTATTATAC